GTATATTGCCTGCATGTATGTGAGTGCACCCATGTTGTGCAATGCCGAGGTCAGAAGAGGGCTTCGGATTCCCCTGGAACTGGAGTTAAGGTAGCCACCATGTGGGTGCTGGGAATCAAATCCAGGTCCTCGGCAAGAAATTCAGGGCACTTAACCACTGAGCCATCTCTCCAGCCCCTGAAAAAATATATCTTTAAGAAAATAAAGACAAGCCAGGCATTGTGGTGTGGGCCTGTAAGCGCAGCACCTGGGAGGTGGCAGCAGGGTTAAGAATTCAAGGTCACCCTCGACTACTGTAGTGAGTTCAAGGCCAGTCAGGACTACCTTCAGTAACTGGCTCAAAAAAGTGAGGAAAAAAAAAAAAATCCAGCAGGTATTTAGAATGCTTGCCAATTTTTTTCTTGATTCATGTAAAACCAATTGCATATATATATATATCTCCCTTGATTTAGAGAAATACTATACAGTTGGATTCAAATTAAGATATGCACTGGGGAAGTATTTGTATTTGCCCATGTTTATTCTATAAACAAGATGCAAACTCTACTTGTGCAGAGGGTAGCAACTACAGACACAGACACGGAGAAACCGTCATTTTTTACCTTTTTTTTTTTTTTGCTTTTGAGACAGGGTCTCACTGTGCAGCCCTGATTAGCCTGGGACTCGATGTCCAGGTTGGCTTCGAACCAAGACCAGCCTGCCATGTGCTGGGTCTCAAGGCGTGAGCATGGTAAATGCAAGATTAACAGGTGTCACCCAACCCCCAGGAACACATATGGTTCCTATCAGCTGTTTCCCTCCTGTTTTAAGACTGTTTTTTTCCAGTTAACACGAAAAGGAAGTAATTTCTCCCAAGGCCACCTTCCACGCCTTCCCACGACAGAATGTCCAACAGAGGCTCTGGGTCACGAAGGTGCAGAGGATCGGCGCCCTTCCACTTGACATCATCCGTTTCTGGGTCTGCCCTTGGCCTGCCCTTTGCTCCTCGGTGAAACGTCTGGTGAGGAGCTCGAGTTTTACAGCACCTCTAAACGCAAGGCGGGTAGCGTCTCAGTTTTCCTAGATCTTCAAGGGGAAGGAACCAGGCTGCTGCTCCACGTCCCGAGGCGCGCTCCGGATGCCCCAGGCGGAGAAGCTGATGCAGACGCAGGTGGCGACCTCGGGCTTGTCTGCTTCCTCCGCTGTCCGCGATTGCGGACCCCGCATCTCTGCAGAGCAGAGGCTCCCGGGACATCCTCTGATGTCCCCTGGGTGCTCAGGGTCACCCCGGGGCGCAGACACACGCCCACGCCGAGGCTCCCCAGAAGTGCCCCGAGGACCCCTTTGCGCGTCTGATCACATCGGGTCATGCAAGGTCCTGCAGACCTGCGCCTCGGATCTCGTCTGCAGTGGTTAAGGCTCGGCAGACATGCCACGAGGTCTCCTCGGCGAGCAGGGTCACCTCGGGTCGCGCAAGGTCACCCCGGGACGCGCTCTGCTCGGCAGACCCACAGAGGCGGTGACTCCGCAGATATGCTCCCGAGTTCCCCTCGGCACACAGGTCCCCGCTTAGACGTCCGGTCCTCTCCAAGCTAACCCATGGCCGCTTCTCCGTCCCCCACGCAGGAGACTCTCCTCCCGGGGGAGGACTGCAATTTTCCAGCTTCAGGGGGTCCAGGGGCAGCCGCCCGGAAGAGTCTCGTTTTCAGACTTGACGCAGGCGGCTTCCGCAAGGAAGCCCTGCCCCCAACCCAGGTGTGGGCGTGGCCTAAACACAGGGGCGGATGCCCTGCCCAACTGTTTCCCAACGGCTCCTTGGGTTTGGATGTCTGGCGGGGAGGTGCGGCCCGGCAAGTTAGCCAGTGCGCCTGCGTGCGCATGCGCAGATGTCAGGTTGTGAGGCGTGGCTCGAGAGCCTGCCCCGCCTAATCCTCGGCGTCTCCGCCCGCCCCCATCTCCCAACCGCCTCAGCGTGGCGCCGACGCTGCGTGCGGCGCGGGTTACCCAGAGTGCTCCGCGCGGGGGTAGCTTACTGGAGTTTGGTTCTCGAGGTGGCGGCGGTGGCGGCGGCTCCCCCGTCGGCTCCTCCTCCTCCTCGTTCAGTGGCGGCGGCGGCGGTCCGGGGCCTGAGCTCCGGTCCCCTCCGCTTCCCCCCTTTTCCGCCATCTCCCCGAGCGCCCCGACCTCCTCTGGCGCCTCGGGGAACATGCGGCTCCGTTCCCGGAGGCCGGCGAGTGACTGACCCGCGTACCCCCGCCTCAGCCCGCCCGCCTGCCGGCCCGGCCGCTCCCCCCCGCCTCGCCCAGGCAATGACAGCGGCTCCGGCGTCTCCGCAGCAGATGAGGGACCGGCTGCTGCAGGCCATCGACTCTCAGAGCAACGTAAGTGACCGCCGCGCGCCGGGGACCGAGGCCGCGTGCGCCGGGACCCTCCCCCTCCGCTGTGTCCCCGGCCTGACAGACTCCCCCGGCGGCGGTTTGTCAGCGAGAAGCGCTGCCATCACGGCCTTTCTTGTCCCGGGGGCCGCAAGCGGGGCGGGCAGCCGGGCTGCGCTGGGTACGTGAGGCCGAGGCTTCCGCGCGGCCTGGACGGAGAGAGCGCACCGGGGCTTGGATCAGACTGTGTCCTCCACCACCGTCCTGGCCGGGCTGCCCCCGGTTCTCCCCAAGGTGTTCACTTGCCTCGACGCATCCCCGAGACCCCCCCCCCCCGGCCCCGGACGGGCTGCCCCCGGTTCCCCCCCAGGTTTTCCCTTGCCTCGGCCCATCCCCGCGGCCCCCCCCCCCCGGCCCCGGGAAGCCCTCCCGGCGGGGAGCATGCTGGGAAGCAACTGGTGTTCCTGGGATGACTCGGGGAGCCTTTTCTCCTCCCGACTGGAATCCCCTCTTGTCGGAGGAATTCCTCGGAGGGCCCGCTCATCTCCTGACTGCCTGGGGAGGTCTCGAGAGGCCCTCCCCCTTCTTCCAGAGACTGGACGTATCTTGGCCTTTAAACCCCTCCTGCGGTCGATGCCTAGGAAGGTCGACCCTAGACAGGATGGGATACTAACTGTCACCTTTCTTGGCCTAAGTGCCCCATTGCGCCTCTGACCAGAAGCCAAAGCTTGAATTTTAGGTAGTGAATTCCTGTGGATCACAGTAGTTCTTTCATTCACCTCTACCTTCCAATCTTGTTTCCATCTCTCTTCCCCCATCTGTGGGTCTCAGCCTGGCGCTTTGGGACCTAGGCTCTGCAAAGGGTCGCATTATGTCAAATTCCTCTCTGCTCAGGGTCCTGTGAGCAGAGGGACAACCCTCCTCAGTCCTGTGAGTGTTTAGGAAACCTCACCTGTTCTTGTGTTTTCTCCAAGGGTTTGCTGACAGTAGAGGGTCCTTTTTCTGTGGCAGGAGCAGGGCCATGGGAAGATGCAGAGGCATTCAGGTATGAAGCCAGGATTTGCTGGGAGACCAGGAAGTGGCCATTCAGATCATTTTTTAATATGCTGGGGATGGAAGAGAAAAATCATTTGGGCTTGGCCAGGTAATGCAAGTCAGAGTGGGTGAGCTCTTGTGGCTCCTTTACCTCTGCTTGGCTACTTCCTCTTAGTGATGTGCTATACTCCAGAGTCAAAATAACTCACGTTGATCTGTAACAGTCATAGTAGAGATTGAGAGGTGGTGATTTCCTTAAGGCTCTGCTTGCAGAGCTTCCTCTGGTCTTCAGATCCCATTATGATCACCTTGATGGGAATTTAACAAACGATATAGACATTTTGGGGGTAGAGTAGGCACAGGCTGTATAAAACCTTCTAGAAAGCCCCCTCCCCCCAGTAACTAGTGTTGCTGCAATCACAAGACTGGAATATTAAGGGATTAAAAACAAATGATAGGAAAATGTAGTCTTTGGCAACTTGCGCACTCGAAGTTACTTGTAGTTCTCAAGTCCTGTGTATGAGCTTCCTTTGCTGAGATTAATACAGAGCCTTACTGCCACCTGGGAGAGTGTTGGGATCAATAGGCATTTTTACAGGCAGTCATGATACTGTAGATTAGGTGGACCAGTGACCAGTGACAAGTGTTACATAAGGCGTTAGTGCAGGCCCATGCAAAGTGGCACAGTTCTTAGGAGTAAAATAGGGAAAGGAGGGACACCCCCCACCAAACCTTAGCTTCCTCAATCTTCTCTTGAACCCAAGTGTTACTGTATTTATATTGGCCTAAGGTTAGGTTACATGGGGTGGAGCTCACATCTCATAAGGCCTGCTCTTGGTGTGTGTGTGAGGGGGGGTCTCTGGTGAGAGGTGTGGCTAGAGCCCTCATATTCTTAGTGTGGTGAATGGAGTTGAGAAATTGTCTCTTTGACTCAAGCGATGAGGAAAGTGCTTCTCTAAATGTAGCTTGTCAGTGACCATCCATGAATACATCCAACTGTTTTTGACAAATGCTGGCTTTGCATGACTGCGTGACCTCTGTGTGGGGCTCAGCTTGGAGGACTGTCCTGACTTGCTGATGGAGGTGGTACAGGATGCTTTGTGTCTGCACTTTCTTTGGATTGCTCTGGGTCCAGGTGAGAGCAGGGTGCTATGCTAGTACACAGCTCTCTGCTGTTTGGTTATGAACTCCACCACTTGTTAATTGACACATATTTAAGACGCTCATAGAAAAAAATACAAAACGGGGACAGGGTTGAAGAGCCAACACTAAAATTAAACCTCTTCAGAGAGAAGTGACAGACAATTGTGTCATGTAATGCTTACCTTTATGGGTGTGCAATTATGGTTAACATAGCTTGAAAAATCGGTGCCAGGCAGCTGACCTAATGTCCATAGTGTCTGTGAAGTTGGAACCATGTCTGAATGACCAGCTCCTTGACTAAGGTCCCAGGGGGAAAGCTGTCTGTGTCTAACCTCTAGTATTCGAGTGCCTACTACAGCAGGCATGGTCCTTTTTGCCAGGTGTGTACTGCAGGAAGTCCTCCACTCACAAAAAGCGCAACACCAACACTGTGCAGGCCTTACTCTGGGCAGTGTGTGTTCACTCAGGGTGTTGACACACTCTTAGAGGGATAGTATGTATGTGCTTGTCATCTTGTATTGTGGAAAAAGGTGGAGACCATGACTTATTCCTGCACAGAAAACATAGTCCCCCAAGCACAGCTCTCATTGGCTAGTGACAGGGCTGCCATGGGAATGGTACCCTCACTTTTGGGGAAGTCTGTTTCTTGTCTTTCTGAGAGTCACAGATCTCTCCCCCCTCCCATGATCTGTGTCTGAATGTCTTCCCCTGGAACAGAAGTGCCTTGCTTACTTTCTCCTTGCTGGTTCAACTCTGAACCCTAGAAGCTTCTCATCCTGTGACTCTGGAGTTGTCTCCAAACCCCCATTTTTCTTAAACAGCCCTGGGACTGCTCTATAACCTGAAGGCTTGTAGTGGAATGTTCTAATACAGGACTTTGGAGACTGGAAGAATCACAAGTGCATGAGAATCTCCCTGTCTGTAGTAATGAAAAGTGTCATCTTAGGACTCACAGGCTTGGCTCTTCAGACAGTGGAAAGGCAGTGCCGGCCCCTGCAAAGTGGCAGTCCAGGACAGGGCTTCCAAAGGCAGCTAGTGGTTCTGGGTTTAAAGCAGGGGAAGGCCAGAAGAGACCTGTTGGAGGAGAGGGACTTGAACCAGCTGCTGTCAAGCTTGGAGCAGGAACGCTTCTCAGGAGCTGCTGTCTTCCTTCCAGTCCTGCAGGTGACAGGAGTTCGGCTTTGCAGAAGTGGGCAGCACAGCTGTCCTTTCCCACTTGGAGCTGCTGGCCTCTAGTGGCCTGCAGGCTCCTTGCTGCAGACTGGGATGACGAACTGGTGGACAGTTCTGGAAAAGCTTCTAGGCCCAGGCTCAGATTTTGGAAGGGCAGCAGGGGCTAACATGAATTGTTCTAGAAGGGTTTCTTAGGTGTGCTGGTTTCAGGTATCCATGCAAAGTGTGTTGTGTGAACTTTTTCAGATACTAGACTGCTAGGCAGAGATACGCAGCTCTGGTTAATTTTTGTGGCACCCTGACAGTGTGCTGTGTTCCTCCTTAACAGCTCCTTTTAGATAAAGGGAGGTGGGACAAAGCCAGCCTCCCCTTTGGGCAGGCACAGAAGCTGATGGCATAATGATAGGGTCTCCCCGTAGCCAGGAGAGGACAGGATGCTTTTATTTCTTACTGGCCCAAAGTTAGGGACTTACCTGGAGCTATTAAGTGACAGTGCTTCTGACACTGAACACCATCATGCTGCTGTTGACAGGTGGGGACCTGACCTGGGAAGCGGTACAAGGTGGGCGGGGCGTCCTTGAAAGGATGCTGGGAAGTAGTGTGCTCTCTTGCCATTCCCTTTGCAATCAGCTCCTAGTTGTAGGGGTGTCATCCTAGTAAGGATGCTGGGAAGCAGTGCGCTCTCTTGCCATTGCCCTTTGCAATCAGCTCCTAGTTATAGGGGTGTCATCCTAGTGGAGTGGCTTCACAAACTGATGCACTTCCTGAGCAAGGATAGCCTGTCCCATCATCTCTATGCGATTGAGGCTGGATCAGACTTACCTGTGTCAGATAACTGGATGATAATGGCCTGTCCTGTGAGCATCAGAGGGTGTCTGTCCCAACTACCACCTGACATGGAACTTGCTGCATCTTGTGCTCAGCTTTGCTTTCTGCTGCAAGATGACAGTTCTTTTGACACCAACTTCAAATGCCGGTGATCCTGCCAGAAAGAAGACTAGAATACATTACAGAATCAGAAACTGACTGTAGCATGTCAGGATGCAAGAGCTGAGCATGTGAGCTGGGTCTGGTCCTGGCCTGGTTCTGGGATCTTCTCATCTTTGCTCTTTGTTGCCGTCAGGCTACAGACAGGCTGCAGAAGACTGTATGGTGTTTCTGACTTTGGGAAAAAGAGAGGTGTGATGAGTATTGCCTGTGAATCAGGTGGAAGTCTTGTTTCTCACTTCGTCCCTCTGAAGAAGGTGGACTTCGTCGGTCCTCTGTGAGTTTACAGGTGGTCTTCAGAACTGGGAGGTCCTAGAGGCCTGGAGGAGGGGACTTTTGTGCTAGACACAGATATAAAAAGGTACATGTAGTCCCCTTGGCTCCTGATGTTGCTGTGTGTATCAAGATACCAGGCTCAGGGCTGGTGAAGGGGCATCTGTATGAGCTCTTCTCAGCATCACTTGACCCCAAACTGGCCCTCAGGAGATAGCTGCCTGCTTCCCATAGCAGACCTTCTGAAGATGGGGCTGTTCCTTATTCCTGGGACTAGGCTGTCCTGAGTCTGCTCAGCCCAGGAGATGGTTGTGAGAATGGGCAGCTGAGTTTGGGGTTCAGTAGGCAGCAAACAGGCAGTGCATGTCCTCCTCAGACTGCTCCTTTCAGTCTTA